CCCATTATACACGTTGCATTCCCCACCCACCCCCAAAAAACCTGAATCACTAAAAACGGATTTCCACTCTTCAATCACTGAACTAGTTCACATTCTTAATATTATAAACAAGGTCATTAATTAGCTCATCACAACTCATTGCCAAAGACTTAACTGTGCCATGTGAAACATGCGCTACATGGGTGTGACTGCGACCTGCTCTGCAAATACAAACATGTTCATGCATGGTCATGCATTAGGTCTAAACCTAATTTGGTGATGCACTGAAACCTTGAGGCTAAAATACTGTGCGTGAAGTCAGGAAGTTTATTCCTTCACATTTTTGGTTTAACAACTGGCATGCTTCTGCATCCCTGCCTGCTGGGATGAGATACCCCCTTTTCCTATTAAAATGGAAACACCCATAATAAGCACTAATCACATTTGCCTTCCTGTTTGCTCCCACGGTCCTTCTCCCTACACTCCAAAGCATTTCAGATATCCACCATCAGATGACTTCCGTCTGAGTTTATCAGTCTCCAGTAAAGTAATGAGTAGGAGAGGAAACAAACTATGAAGGGTGTTCAGTGAAGCATAAAGCAAACCTATCCTTGAATGGCAGACCAGAGATGTGTGCGCTAAACATTTCATGCATTCTTTGTTCCCAGGGTAAAACTTCACACCAGCTTGGAATTTCCATTATCTGGCAAAGCGGATTTTTTTTTTTTTTTTTTGGGGGGGGGGGTTTACAGTGGGCAGACTACTGACCACCAACATCTGAGGGGCTGCTTTATAATGAGCTTGTCGAGCTATGAGAGCAAGAAGTTTGATCGGCGGAAAAAAAGCGCATTCTCCGTTTTACTCAGTGGAACGCATTAATTCATTTTGTTTTGGATATTAATGCTGACCCGTTTTATTTGTTTTTCCTTTTGTCTTTGCAATTTACTATGTTCAGTTTATCCTTTATCGGGTGGATGAATGCTATTAAATATTTGGGATCTATGTTAACAGTGAACCTATTAGAGCAGAAACATACAGGAAATATCTGGCAATTTGTACAGTTTAATGTTTGGTTGTGTTAACACAAGTCATTTCCCTCGACTCATGTAGGGTGATCTGATAAAACTTCGACTCAAGAGCTTAATGTGAAGCTGACAAACACTTTAAAAGGTATTCATTCTCTGCCTGAAGGAAACATAAATCAACTACAAGTAAAAGTCCTATATTCCAAAGCTTCTGTAATCATATTACTCAATCCATACTGTTGTCCTTTTACTATGCATATGGAATTTATTATGAGTCTCCAAGTGGTGCTGATTGTTTTGCATTCTCATACATTGCGTTATATTTCACCAGCTGACTGGAATCTATAACAAAAATCTTAGTTTGTAAATTGCAACACAGAAAAAAAAAGCAGTGGCAGTGCAATGACATCAAGTACAGTACTTAAGTAAATTTACTTAGATACTGATCCACTGACAATACGGAACTTATGCAAAGTATTTAAACTTAAAGTGACTCATGTGTTAAGCGATCACACCGCTGTGAAATGCAAACAAAGGCGTTCATGTGAAAATAGTGGTCAAGGACAGTAAAGTACAACAGTATTCCCAGACAGGAAGTCATTTTAATTTGCCACTAAGACAGTTTATTATTAGGAGCTGGTGGTTGTTTGCATTTATACTTCTATTCCTGCCTTTGCGGGGTGCATGCAGTCCTGTTAACCAGAGCCAGATGTGCAAACCTATAATGTGGGATGGAAAATCCTTTTATGAGCCTTTATACTACCAATAATGTGATATACGTTGCATTTTGCTACTCTGGCTACAGACAATATCCAGCCTGTAAGCGAGCACGTGAGACGGTGGGCTGAGTTAACCTATGTGACCTTTAATGATCAGCATTTCAGCTCCTTGGTGCAAAAAGCAAAAACAGTGGAGCAGCAGTGACAGGTGGAATCCCTTCAACTCTGAGAAAGCACATACTTTTCATTCCTTATACAGACTAGAGTGAGAAATGTGAATAAGGAAATAGAAGAAAACAGAGCAAAGGGGAAATGACACATTAGTGATTAAAAAAAATCAATAGATACAGAACACAAATCCACTTAGCCATCTATAAATTATTGATTAGTTACAAGTGAGCTTTACACGCAGCATATTAAAGCCATATCTGTGAGTCGTTAAACGTGGATCATCACAGCAGAGCGGCACACAAATATCACAGTGAGAACAAACTTACTATTTCTGCTGCCAGGATGAACCCTTTCTGGGTCTTCACGTAGCTTTTCAGCCTCTCCACGCAGCTGGGAGAGCCGGACGCACTTGTATCAGCCATTCTGTACTTTATCAAAGTTCACTAAACAGACAGTGTGTATTCGACCCCTAACTACGAGCAGATTAAACAAATGTTCTTCTTTCTTTCTTTAGTGGAGGAAAGTTTAGAGAGTGCTGCCCTGGTGCGGTTTATCGTTGCTCTTGCTTAAATTGGCGAGTCGTTATTTTCCCCTCAGGCGGATGAATCAACTTCTCCGAGCAGAGGTCTTGATGAAATGCGGTTATTGGACTCCAGCACGACCACAGAAGCTCTGCGGAAACTCTACAAGAGGGAGGGACTAGGAACCAGCGTAGGAGTTCACTGCCGGGCGTTGGCTCGCTACCGCTTTCCTCAAGGGGAGCTGTTTCTCTGCAATTACCCGAAGTTATTTTAATGTTTTGTTATGTCATTTTAGGTTGTTTACATTTGCTTTATACCGTGGCGCTGCCGGGGATTATTTAACTGCAAATAATTGTTATGATTGTTATGCTGGTGCTTGTGCTTTATTATTTGCACAGAGCGCTAAAATCCCTAAAAACTATATGTAGGACGAAGAGAATGGGTTACTAGAGAGCAAAGAAACCATGCAAGTTACAAGTTTACTTACAAATATGTTGCTTTATTACATACTTTCCCCGTCTCCCTTAATAAGTGAAAACAAGAAGGCTGACAGGAAGCTAAACAAAAGACTAGAGCTTCAGTCCAACTTTGTTCTTTTCATTGTTTTCCTTGCATCATATTCGCTGACATATGCATAATTTGTGACTTTGAGCACACGCAGAGCATAAAAAGAAAAAAAAGTGCGACATGCCAGCTTGCACGTGAACAGGGGCGTTTCCAGGTTTTTGGAGCAACGATGAGCACGAGGCATGAGGAGTGCAGGGTATTTGATCAGAAATAAACCCAATGTAGAAAACGGGTGTGCAAAACATTTTCAGCCTTGTGTGGAGTCTTGATGCAGATGGTATTATGAGAAATGGGAAAACTTGTTTTGTGGTTAGTAGTAGGGGCGTGTTTTGGTTATTGATTTAAATCGATTCTAGCTTGGATAACGTGATATCAATTAAAATCCTGAATCGATTTTTTTTATATAAATTAATTTTGCCGGAAATGCCAGAATCTCAGGTTAAACCGCACACAATTTCAACAACCACCAAACAGCTAAAACAGTAAATGAGAGCAGGAACACGGATTCTGCACAAAGTGGCCTTTCTCACCTGACGGGGCTCAAAGCCGACAGCTCGCTGATTCTGATGTTTCGGCGGGTCCCTGCTTTGTGTTTACGTCTTTTTTGCGCTAGACAAACAATATGACTGAACCAGCAGCAAAAGAAGATCCAAACTACGCTTCACATAAACATCGTCAAATTCAAATTTTATTTGTCAAATTTGAATTTGACATCGTCATGAAATACCTCTGACTTTTGCTGTTTTGCCTCCACCACGATAAAATCACACTTCATGGACATCTCTCTCTCTCTCTCTCAGTATACTTCAAGAAAAGTTCCCCGTCTAAAAATCTGTTCTCTTCATTATTCGCTTGCTTGTTGCGCACAAGTCTACGGTTTTTTTTACAGCGCTGTCGGCCGCTGTCTTTTCCTTTTACCTATACTTCCGAAAATAAAACCTAATTTCTGCTGAATTCTGAATTGTAACTTGAATAAATGCTTTTAAAAACTGAATTTGAATTAGTCTAATTTGAAATTCAATTTATTGGTTTGAAAATGATCATCACTAAATTGAATTTTATATTTTGACATTGAATTCCTTTGCTTTGAAACTGTATTTTATCCTTTAAAAATTTAGCTCTCGAATAATTTCAGGTTGTCTTTTTGTTTATCTCGTGAAAATGATTACGTCAAGTTATTGCTAGTAAAGGTCATTCCATGACTGAATCATGGGAGCGTATTTAGTTTTTCTCAGGATTGCTTCTGTATATATCACGTCATCTTTTTGTTTATCTCGTGCTGTATTTACCCAATTTTTATAGACCTGACAAGGACCAGGTGTCCTGATATGCAATACCTTTGAACAGATAGTGTACTTTTTACCATGACTGTATACACTTGTAAATGAAGCACTTTAAGATAATTTAGCAGGACACATGAGTGTACAGAGCAAGCCAGAAAACTGATTTTCTTTGTGGTAAAATGGCTTTTGTTTCCCTTTGAACTTTTAAATTACAGACTTTTGTAAAGCATATTAAAATGAAATTTAAAAAAAAGCAAAAACACCAAAGGGGTTGAGGAAACACTCGCAGTACATATCCTAATGTTAACATAGCATGTTCAAAAAATGGACTGTGCTACTGAGCAGTATAAAATGTCTACAGAAAAATATTGTACCACCTTAAAAATGTGTTATAAATGTAAGAAAAATGCATAACCGGAGCAAGAATCCAAGAGCTGTAGGCATGATGTAATTTTAAATAATAAAAGTGTGGTTGTTTAGTTAATGGGCTGTCTATGGGTCCTAAATTCCAAAACTCTCGAAGGAAAACGGCCAAAGATTGATTTCATTTTTATTAATCAGCAAATGTTTTAGTACTTAGAAACAAAAGATGAAACGGAAGAAGGTGAGGGAACTGGTTACTCTGAATGAGACTTTTAAGGCACTGTAAAACACACAGAACACTATTAACCCTCTCAGGCTCAAATTAAGTTTTTGTTGCTAATGCACAAAAGAATACCTGCAGTGGTACTTCTCAGTAAAAAATCCTCATAAAATATGTATGTGGGTTAATCAGGTTGTTAGCTTTTACTTGTTGCAAATCTGCAACGCCTGCTTTCAGAGGGTTAAATAACAGAAAAGCAAAGGTGTAACCAGCTGAGAAAGTACAAAAAAAGTCCCCCAAGAAGACATTTATAATATTAAACGATTCAAAAAGCACCACCTCTGTGTCAGTTGCTTCTGAAGCCCAAATAACACAGTTACTATTTACTACAGCAGTCCATTAACAGTAGACAGGTGTATTAGACAAGTTGCATGATGACGTCATCCAAAGTCCTCCTAGAAGCAAGTCTGGCCATTTGGCATCTTGATAAGACCATTGGGCACTTATATGGGGAGATATTTTAAAGGATTATGAAAATGAACTCTTATTTCAGTGATTAAGGGGACACCTGGAAAAAAAGAGTGCTTTATGAGTTTGCTGCCCCCAAAATAATGCTTTAAAAAGCTTTTTATCCCCCGGGAGGTTACACTTTACCAGCGTCTTTGCTGTTATGGAATTATCTCAGAAGCATCGGTTGAGGATTCTGTGAGTGCTAGGTCGCTCTTTCATAATCTTTCCCGTTTTACTCTGGTTGGAATAAAAGTTTGAGAGGGGAATCCCTCATGGAGTAGACATACAGACAGATGCCAGCACCCCTTATTAAGGCTATGTCATCTTCTTTTCTGGCTTCATTCTTTAAGATACATTTCATCTGTTCAGGCCATGCAGCAGCATTTATTAAACTGTGACTTGCTCATTTTACTGTCCATCCTCCTCTCTGACCCGCTCCTCTGTTAACCTTTGCCCAAATGACTGCTTTTGGTTCTTCTGTGTTCTTGACAGAAGTATTTCTGTGTGAGAACATTTAAACTCTGCCATCTGTTAAAAACAAAAACAGTCAAGATATTAGAGAAAATTGCACATATCAAATAAAACCAAGAACGCGTTGTTACGACCCGTCTAGGGCCAGGCCATAACATGAGCGAGGCACTCGCTTCCCTCCCCAAGACCCAAGCAGTCACACGCAACAAATCCGTTAGATGTGAAGTGATTTATTTACAAGGTGAATAAAGAGAACCAAAACGGGAGTGTCAACACTTCAGGGTGAGCCAAGGCCAAAACAATAAACAAAACAAACCTACACAAATCCCGCACCCCTGACCTCACCAAAATAAAGTCAAAATAAAGACAGAGTCTGACCTCCTTAACCAACTCAAAAACAGGAGCAAACGGGTGATCAAAATAAACGGCAGCTCACCCCTACCCACTCCACTTCCACAATTTTCGCACGTATACTGCAGCCAGCGGCTACCACAGGACTACTGCTGGGTGATGAGGAGAAATGCGAGGACCTCTCCCACTGTAGCGCTCCAGCCTCCTTTTATTGGGCGGGTCCTCCAGCTGGGCGGATCCAATCACGCCGGGGCAGTAAGTCCACGCACCAATCGGAACAGGGACCTGGCACAGCTAAATTAACATAGACAAAAACACAGCACCTGCACAAACAAACACACGGACATACAAGTTCGTAACAGCGTTTTGAATGCATTAACAAAAACTGTTTTTCTCACCAGTTGGAGCTGCTGAGTGCTGTCTGTTACTTTGGATTTGGAGGAAGATTGTGTAGGTGTCGTATGCAAATATCAGCCCAGCGAACAACCCTAACACCTAAGAAGCAAGAACTGACAATCAGAATCACAACTAACACAAATACAATCTAAATAAATGATCAGTATTTTGTTAAAGTTAAGTGCCAGAAGACTTTGTGCTCTTCACACTATTAGACACTTTGGTTCATGAAGAAGCCAATGTGGGGACAGACTTGTGCCTGATATACAGCTGCAAAGCACATGTTTGGGACTAAACACGTGATTAATACAAAAGACTACGTGTAGACATAGCATACCACGAGGATGGTTGTGGTGGGGAAATGAGATGTGAAATTTATCTTTAACATACAGAAAATCTGTCATTAGGAGCATGATCAACTTCTCTCACTCAAAGGGACTTGTCAAAATTGCTCATTGTTCATCTGAGGATTTGTGAATCTGCACTGAGTGTTTTCAGTGAGAGCAGCAGTATGTTCAGTCAGACCTCATGACCAAAGTAATACAGTGACAGTTGTCAGTACATCCAGTAGTATATGTCAAAAAACTACATTAACTCCCATCTTTTTAAAGGTTTATCAAATTCAGGGTCCCTGGTCCCGGCTGGGAAATCAGTCTGAAACTGATTTCCGGTCATCACCGTGTCCTGTTTTTGGCAACAATAAACTAACATTCAAACTAAATGACACATGGATTCAGTGTTATATCTGGATTTTTTTTGTCTTAGAAATTTTTGAATGAGCTAAAGTAAGGTGATAAGTCACAGTCTACAGTTGTAGTCAAAAAGGAAGGAAGTATTGCAGTATGAACATTACTCAATGTTGAGTGCCTGCTTTTTCAGAAAGTCTGAGTGTTTCATATTGAACACAAAAAAGTGACAAAAACACCAGGCATTCAGTTTTCACATGTATAACTGGCAGCACCGAAATTAGTCAGTGGTAACAGCCATCAGTTGTCAAGATAAACAGAGAAATAAATATGAGCGGATTCAGTATGCAGCTAAGAACTCAGGCTGAGTCATTCTGGCTTAACTAACCGCGCCTGCCATACAAGCTCCATCCCTAGATCCTCCAATGAGATTGACCAGAGAGGTGATGATGTAGAGGACGGCACCAACTGCAGCACGGAACAGATCCTGCACAAAGGGAAGCAAAAGATGAAGCATTATGCAATTTAGCACAGAAATGTGTCAGAGTGTGTGCATGTAGTTATGTGTGTGCGGACTCACAGTCCAGACCCAGTTGATCCCTAAGAACTGCTTGTCCAGGTCCATCATGAAGATGCCGAAGAAGATCATGGATAAGGTCATCTCACATATGGGCACCGTAGTGTAGCCTCCACACCAGGAAGAAGCATAGCAGATGATGACGATAAAACTGACAAGCTAAGATAGAGATGAGAGAAAAGAGGAGATAAGACTTGATATCAGTGTAAATTTCACAGGAAACTAACACCCACACTGCGTAAATTCCTCTACCCTGTTAGAATTTCCAGGTATAAAAATCAGCTGCAATTTCTCTGAGATAGGACTGCACATTTTTGTAGCGTCACACAGCAACAGAAAATAATCTGTCTATAGAGCTGTCACGTCCAGCTGGACAGTAAATGAATAAAATCATCCATCCATCCATCCATCCATCCATCCATCGTCATCCGCTTTGTCCGGGGTCGGGTCGCGGGGGCAGCAGCCTAAGCAAAGAGGCCCAGACCTCCCTCTCCCCAGCCACCTCCTCCAGCTTGTCCGGGGGAATACCAAGGCGTTCCCAGGCCAGCCGAGAGATATAATCTCTCCAGCGTGTCCTGGGTCTGCCCCGGGGCCTCCTCCCGGTGGGACATGCCTGGAACACCTCACCCAGGAGGCGCCCAGGGGGCATCCTTGTCAGATGCCCGAACCACCTCAGCTGGCTCCTTTCGATGTGGAGCAGCAGCTGCTCTACTCTGAGCCCCTCCCGGATGGCCAAACTTCTCACCCTATCTCTAAGGGAGAGGCCAGCCACCCTTCGGAGGAAGCTCATTTCTGCCGCTTGTATCCGCGATCTCGTTCTTTCGGTCACTACCCACAGCTCGTGGCCATAGGTGAGGGTAGGGACGTAGATCGACCGGTAAATTGAGAGCTTCGCTTTTACACTCAGCTCCCTCTTCACCACGACGGACCGGTGCAACGTCCGCATTACTGCAGCTGCAGCCCCAATCCGTCTGTCGATCTCCGGCTCCCTTCTCCCATCACTCGCGAACAAGACCCCGAGATACTTGAACTCCTCCACTTGGGGCAGGAACTCATCCCCGACCCGGAGTGGGCACTCCACCCTTTTCCGGCTGAGAACCATGGCCTCAGATTTGGAGGTGCTGATCCTCATTCCCGCTGCTTCACACTTGGCTGCGAACCGTTCCAGTGCGAGCTGGAGGCCTTCACCCGATGAAGCCAACAGAACCACATCATCTGCAAAAATCAGAGATGAGATTCTGAGGCCACCAAAGCGAAAGCCCTCCGCCACTTGGCTGCGCCTAGAAATCCTGTCCATAAAAATTATGAACAGAACCGGAGACAAAGGGCAGCCCTGGTGAAGCCCATCACCCACCGGGAACGAGTCCGACTTATTGCCGGCAATGCGAACCAAGCTCTTGCAACGGTTATATAGGGATCGAATGGCCCGTAGCAATGGGCCAGACACCCCATATTCCCGCAACACCTCCCACAGGACACCCCGAGGGACACGGTCGAATGCCTTCTCCAAGTCCACAAAACACATGTAGACTGGTTGGGCAAACTCCCATGCCCCCTCAAGTATCCTGGAGAGGATAAAGAGCTGGTCCAGTGTTCCGCGACCAGGACGAAAACCGCATTGTTCCTCCTGTATCCGAGGTTCGACTAACGGACGAACTCTCCTTTCCAGCACCCTGGCATAGACTTTCCCAGGGAGGCTGAGGAGTGTGATCCCCCTGTAATTGGAACACACCCTCCGGTCCCCTTTCTTAAAGATGGGGACCACCATCCCGGTCTGCCAGTCCACAGGTACTGCCCCTGATCTCCACGCAACATTGCAGAGGCGTGTCAACCAGGACAGCCCTACAACGTCCAGAGCCTTCAGGAACTCGGGGCGGACCTCATCAACACCAGGGGCTCTGCCACCAAGGAGTTGTTTAACTGCCTCAGTGACCTCGCCCCCGGAAATTGGCGGGTCATTCCCCTCATCCCCAAACTCTGCTTCCTCCTCGGAAGACGTGTCAGTGGGATTAAGGAGGTCCTTGAAGTATTCCTTCCACCGCCTGACAATTTTCTCAGTCGACGTCAGCAGCGCTCCGCCAGCACTATACACAGTGCAGGTAGAGCACCGCTTTCCCCTCCTGAGACGTCTGACGGTTTGCCAGAATCTCTTCGAGGCAGTCCGAAAGTCTTTTTCCATGGCCTCTCCGAACTCCTCCCACACCCGAGTTTTTGCTTCAGCCACTGCCTGAGCCGCATTCCGCTTGGCCTGTCGATACCTGTCGGCTGCCTCCGGAGTCCCACAGGCTAACCAAGCCCGATAGGACTCCTTCTTCAGCCTGGTGGCTCCCTTCACCTCTGGTGTCCACCATTTGGTTCGGGGATTACCACCACGGCAGGCACCCACCACCTTGCGGCCGCAGCTCAATGCAGCAGCTTCGGCAATGGAGACGCTGAACATGGTCCATTCGGACTCAATGTCCCCGGTCTCCCTCGGAATCCTGTTGAAGCTCTGCCGGAGGTGTGCGTTGAAGATCTCGCGGACTGGGGCCTCTGCTAGACGTTCCCAGCACACCCTCACTACGCGTTTAGGTGCACCAGGTCTGTCCAGCGTCCTCCCCCGCCACCTGATCCAACTCACCACCAGGTGGTGATCAGTTGACAGCTCAGCCCCTCTCTTTACCCGAGTGTCCAGAACATATGGTCGCAGGTCTGCTGATACGATTACAAAATCGATCATCGACCTACGGCCTAGAGCGTCCTGGTGCCACGTGCACTTATGGACACTCTTATGTTCGAACAGGGTATTCGTTATGGCCAAGCTGTGGTTAGCACAGAAGTCCAATAACAGAGCACCGCTCGGGTTCAGATCAGGGAGGCCGTTCCTCCCAATCACGCCCCTCCAGGTCTCGCTGTCGTTACCCACGTGAGCATTGAAGTCTCCCAGCAGGACAACAGAGTCTCCAGGTGGAGCACCCTCCAGCACCCCCCCCCCCCCCCCAGGGACTCTAAGAAGGCTGGGTACTCTGAACTGCCACTCGGCGCATAAGCGCAGATGACAGTCAGGACCCGTTCCCCGACCCTAAGGCGCAGGGAACAAACCCTCTCGTCCACCGGGAAAAACCCCAACGTACCGGCAGCAAGCCGAGGGATATTAGGATACCCACCCCAGCCCGCCGCCTCTCACCAGGGGCAACTCCAGACTGAGACAGAGTCCAGCCCCTCTCCAGGAGACTGGTTCCAGAGCCCAAGCCATGTGTAGAGGTGAGCCCGACTATATCTAGCCGGTACCTCTCAACCTCACGCACTAACTCAGGCTCCTTCCCCACCAGAGAGGTGACATTCCATGTCCCTATTGCCAGTCTTGGCAGCCGGGGGTCAGTCCGCCAGGGCCTCCGCTCCTGGCCGCCACCCGACACACAATGCACCCGACCCCTATGGCGCCTCCTGCGGGTGGTGGGCCTGCGGGAGGATGGGCCCATGTCTCCTCTTCGGGCTGTGCCCGGCCGGGCCCCATGGACTAAGGCCCGGCCACCAGACGCTCGCCCTCGGGCACCCTCCCCGGGCCTGGCTCCAGGGCGGGGCCCCGGTGACCCTATCCCGGGCAGGGTAAACTGTTCCCTCGGTGTCCTTTTCATAAGGGTCTTATGAATCAATTTATTTATATAGCACTTTTCACAGGATAAAAACCACAAAGTGCTTCATAGTAATATAAAAGAAATACATAAAATACATTATTAATAGGGCTGTTCGACATAACGATATATATCGGATGATGATATAAAAACGTCTATCGTTTCATTTTACGCTATCGTTTGTTTCGTGGTGTCGCAAAATAAACTGTTTACGACAATATTTTTTCATCGTTTTGATGGTCACTGTAGTGGCTATATTGATTTATTAAAGTTCTCTCTTTCTCATATTTAATATAACCACTACGGACGGACAGGCGCCTGTTTTTATGTGTTGTGGTTAGCAACAACGACGGTAACAGCATTGCGTGTCCGCTTGTTTATGTTCCACATAAACCTTTCACAATAAAGCTCAAGATCCTGTTGAGACTTTTCAAAATAAACAATCACGTGAAAGAGCAGATTATTTACGGATGAGAATTAAAAAAGAGCCGACAGGTGCTAAAAAAATAAACCTTAGACTCAAACGTTAGAACAGGCTTTTCCCCGCAGCACGCTGTGTAATAAATACTCAAAGAAAACGGCAGCCTTTACAACTTATGTCTAAAAATGTATAGTTTCATGCATCGGTTAAAACACTCGACTCCAGCAACATGACGCGCAGCTGGAAACACTTCCCGCAAGACGAGCTGCCCGAGATTCACAGAATTTGCAGAAAATGTTACATTTTTGTGATTTATATAGTTATCGGACGATAGAATTCTTATATTGGGATATGAGATTTTGGTCATATCGCACAGCCCTAAATAATAATCAAACATACAGCAGAAATCTAAAAGCCAATCTAAATTGCCAATCCAGTTGGCACCTTTATTTTTCTGAGTGTATGCCATCATTATTCTGTTTACAGTAAATACTAAATACTGAATATTATTGTGCAGCACGTAAGATCGACAGCGCACAGTGTGCTTTGAGGTAGGAGCCAAAAAGGGTGTAGTTTGTGTGTGTGAGCACCCGTGTGTACACCTGTGAGCATGAGCGTGCTTGTATTTAAACAGGTTCCTCAAGTAATGATCTGCTAGAGGGCACACACAGATACTCCTCCCAGTCCCCCCACCCCAACAGGCAACAGAGAACGGGGGTGTGTGAAGACTCCAAACCTCCCTCCGCCCGCTCATATGTAGTGTTGATGCATGTGTGCACTAAGGTGCATTTAAAACTCAGGAGGGCATGGAGCTACCTGTCAGAGAGCAGCAGGTAAGCACATAGCCCCTCCTGATAGCCCTCAATGTCTAGGCCCATCCGGACCGGGGCCCAGTTCAGCAGCGCCACCCGGCCCCACAGAGCCCGGGACAGCCCACCCAACCCCACCACAGAGAAAACTGCACCCACCCTGTCATCCAATTCAATTCAATTTTATTTATATAGCGCCAAATCACAACAAAAGTCGCCTCAAGTAGATCCACTTATCTTCCAGACTACACAAGACAATAGACAAATATCTGGCAATTTGTACATGTTTGGTTGTTTTAACACAAGTCATTTCCC